TGTCAGGGGGTGGGGAGTGGTTGGATGGGGCCTGGGAGTCCTTGGTGTCTGTCTGGGGGTGGGGGTGTGGATAAGGGTTGGGGCAGTCAGGGGACAGGTAGGGGATAGGGTCCTAGGGGGCCAGTTAGGATGGGGGGAGGGTCTCAGGAGGGGGCAGTCAGGGGACAGGTAGGGGATAGAGTCCTAGGGGATCAGTTAGGATGGGGGGGAAGGTCTCAGGAGGGGGCAGTCAGGGGACAAGGAGCAGGGAGGCTTAGGTAGGGGGTGGAGTCCTGGGGGGCAGTTAGGTAGGGTTACCATACGTCCGTTTTTTCCTGGACATGTCCGGCTTTTTGGTCCTCAAATCCCCGTCCGAGGGGAATTGCCAAAAAGCCGAACATGTCTGGGAAACTAGCTTTGCCGGCATCCCTGCCCCAGTCCCCTGCTTACCTTGCGGCTCCCGCAGGCTGCGAGCTGCAGGCGGATTCCCGTGCAGCAGCAGCTGCTGCTGCTGCTCCCCCCAGACACCTCAGCTCTGTGTAGCTGAAGAGCCGAGCTGCCCGAGCGCTACCGGCTTCACGGTTTGCCGGGCAGCCCCCAAACCTCCAGATCCTGTGCCCCCGGCTGGGCGCTTCCCCAGCGCAGCCGGAGCCTGGGAGGGGAAGCGCCCGGCCGGGGGCGCAGGGTCTGGAGGTCTGGGGGCTGCCCGGCAAACCGTGAAGCCGGTAGCACTCGGGCAGCTGTTTTGCGGCTGGGAGGGAGGAGGGAGAATGCGGGGCGTCAGGGGAGGGGGCGGAGTTGGGGCGGGGACTTTGGGGAAGGGGCGGAGTTGGGGCGGGGAAGGGGCAGAGTTGGGGCAGGGAAGGGGCAGGGCCAGGGCCCCGTGGAGTGTCCTCTTTTTTTAATGAGGAAATAGTGTAACCCTAGTTCCTGCCAAGTAGTGTTTTTGGTTCACTTTGGAATGAAATTATGAAATGGTGGAGTTGCAGCAAGTGGTGACTGAAATGAGTTGCACTGATTTTCTCTCTGCTGCTTTGAGGAATTGATTCCCCAACCCCCACCCCCAACTAGGTAAATAAAGCATTGCATCTCACATGGGCGTCCCAAACACTTAACTTATTTTTAAATTAAAATCTATCAACTCAAGAGCTTATTCTTTAATCCATTACTTACGAACTGCCTGATCCTGCAGCCCCCATAGCACTGCAAACTTTGTGGGGCAGGGACCATCTTTGTGTTGGAATAATTATATTTGGTCCCATTAGGTTCCATTGGGCAATTAGTGAGGAGAGGCTGCAGGATTAGACCTGAGTGTTTAAAGCAGGAATATGAGCAGAAAGGGCTGTTCTTAGAGCACTAAAAGTTATTGCAATCTCACACTCCCTGTTCAAACATTTAACATGATGCAATAATCCTCATTAGCAGGCATGTGGCTAAGCTTGCCAAGAGAGCAATGCAAACAGAGGTAGTTGCAAGAACATGGTAAAATTAGATGTGTTAGCACTTTGATATTTGCATTAGCCCTGGCACAAAGCAATCTATTTCATGGGATCAGTTTGTTTTAATTAAAACAAAAAAAAATGTGAATCCCAGGCAATCAATATAATGGATGTTTCACTGAAAATATAACCCACCAACAGTGCTTTGCCATACATACTTAATTCCACTGCTAGTAAAGGATCTAATCCTGCTGCCACTGAACAGCAATTCAGTGGGGGCAACCTCAGGCCCTAATACTTTCCTTCAGTTTGCAAAATTAAAACCCTTAGTTTTCCAGAGAGGATAGAGTAACAGCAAACGCCCCAGACTACTAAACCGGGAGTGGAAATTTCTGCTTATGAAGTCACAAAGTTAGTTAAAAGCGCCTCTTACTTTTATTTGCCTCCATTCTTGGGTGACCAACTCGACCCCTTGGGGCCCGGCTTCCTGACACCACAGCTATTATTAAGTGACGCACTTCTCAAAGTCACGGGCCCTATGGGCCTCAAGCTGGACATCTAACTGTGTGGTGACTCTTCAAAATTGGCTGCATCGCAGGGTCACAATTCATGGGATGCAAGGGTTGCAGCATGATGCATCTTGAGCAATTGGAACTGTCTACTCTTTACATATGGGGAATATGCTTTTTTGAAATCGACAAGAGCACAAGGAGGGAGAGTCTTTTCCATGTTCTTCAGCTGCAGCACAAAACCAAAAAGCTCCACTACTTAGACTATGCAGATTCATCTAAAAGTTCAGGTCCTATTTGCCATGGAAATTCATCAGTTCATTATTTTCTTTGCATTTGCTCTGGTAGGAAGTCTCATTCGAAAGTACATCTTCCAAAAGTTGTGGTGAACCTATGGAACCATGAAGCTTAGGTCTGGCTCCAGCACCTACTCTAACATTTTCAGACCACATAGTCGTTATTCCCAGCTCGTGAGCTGACGTGGGAAGATCAGTCAGTCAGGTGTTCTAAACAAAAGAGAGATTTCTTGGTAACCACACAAAGTCCACATTACACTGGCTACTTCAAGAACTTCTCATGCAGTCTTTTAACCAATTCACAAATTTAAACCATTCCCCCTCCTCCCCTCCACCATAAGTAAAGTCTGGATCAGTTGTACTCTAATATTAATGCATATTTTTTTCTGTAGCTTCTGACAGGGAGTTCCCACTTGGTGAGCACACTGAATTTTCTCACTAAAAACCAGATGGCAAGCGTTTTCCCAAGATAACAGCTCAGAAAAATTCTAAGCCAGGCCAAATCCCTCTTATCTTTCTCAAGTGAGTAACCCAGTTTTGCAGTACATGGAGGAGTAGACTCTTTGGTCTGCAGTCTGGTCTGCAATCTTGAATGGGCCACTGACATTAAAGCCAGGCGCTCCTGTCCAGATAGGACTGGCATGTGAAAATACAGATTTCTATGTTTGCAAAGGTGCTAGGCTCATCTCTGGAGGAGAAAGACTAGCCCCTAGGTCCCTGTGGGATCACCAAAATTCTTGTTATGTTTATAAAGGGCCTACCACAATCTGGTCCTGGCCTCTAGGTGGCTACTGCAATACAAACAACAACAATCTCGGGCATAATTGTTCATACCACTTTCCCCCTCCCCCTATGTTAAATAATCATTGGTGACTGCTTGAAGAAAAAGCAACTCTTTTCCACTGAACTGTTGCTTATACACTAGAAAACATGTCCCACTGTTAAGAAAGTAGATAATGTTCTTAAATCTGCTGGGTATATACAAACACTTCCCCCCTCCACCCCAGTTTTTTCTAATGTTGGCAGTGTAAATTGAATGACAACTCCTTGATACTCCAAGTATCAGGCTCCAGGGTGGGAGGAGAAAATAAAACTCACCTTGAGAATGTGGATGATTGTGTCATTTTGACCTTTACCCAATAATGCAGGAGAAAATTTCTGACTTTAATCATAGCAAACCAGTCTATTTAATACACAGGTATCTGATAACACAATGGTCCATTCATGAAGGAATAGGTCTTGTATGATTAGAGAACACTGAATTATTACGGGATATAAAATAAGACAAGGGATGACAATTACTTGTTAAAATTCTGCCCACATAAACTGGTTTTTATCCATTAGCTGCTATATGAATTTGCTATATCGTATATACACATGTTGGTGCATGGGAAGAAATCTTGGGAAAAAAAAAAGAGTCAGATCCTTGTCTTGATCATACAACTGTCAATCCTGGAACTCCACTGAACATAGAGCTAAACCCTGATTCTACTCAACGGCAAAGCTCCCGTTTTCTTCAATGTGACCAATATGTATCCCTAATGCTAGGCTTAAACTGAGGTCAGCCTCTAGGCTCTGATGTTTCTTACAAGGCCAAAATTACAGCTGAAGGAACTTTTAAATATTACCAATGACAGCAAACATTTAAGCAGAACACCCCTCTCTACCAGAAATAAATTACAAGTACTCAATACAATACATAAAAAGGGACACCATTTGGCGGCACTAATCTATCTTGGCACCTATTAGAAAAAGAAAAGAGATGTCTAGAAAAGGATTCTCTTCGCAAATAGTTGTAGTGTGCGCTAACTAGGTGTGAACCAAAACATGTAAAACAGTTAAACTCTTCAGATTTTGTCTATGAGGACAATAGGACAGCAAGTCACTTAAAAAATTGTTTTTTCAAGACTCCTTCTCTCCCTTAGACTGGTTCTATACTTCAGTGGAATTACCACAATTTATACCAGTGTACGAAGTTGGCCTACATCCCAAGGCTGATTGGCTTTAGACATTAAAACTGAGTTTAAAACCAAGACAAACCAGCTCCCCAGACTATGTATCATGAAACAGTCATGGTCAGAAAATCATCACTTACATGCCAACCTATTTTCTTCCTGGCCAATCAAAACAGACATATTGCGGGAGGTAGGGGGAAAGGAGAAGAGATGCAGACACGAAGGGTAAACAGAAAAAGAACAGTGCCTTCTGTCAAGCCGAATGTTTCTGCAACACAATCCAGCTCTGGCTGTGATAATCCTGTGGAGTGAAGTGTGGCAACCTGAATGCTGCAAGGATGTTTCAAGGCAGGAAATCACCATCAGCTCAGTTAAATGAACTAGGACACTGGGAGATCAGCGTGAATCCTCTTCTAATTGGTGGATAAAGGGCCCTTTTCTACAATCCTGATTTCTGTGAGTAATTCCATTGCTAAAATGTGATTCAGTTCCCTAGCCACATGAACCCCAAAGGCAGTACGTGTATGGGGAACGATGACTCATGTGACATCCATTGCAAGCTTGTATTCAAAGATGAAGCCCGGTGCAGCAGTAACATGGTTACTGCTGTGATAAAGCAGCAGGCAGAACATTTACTGCACTAACCCCAGAGGAATGGATTGTTACCAAGGCGAATGATGAGTGGGTCAAAATTTTAGGATGAAGTCACATTTTCAGGCCCCCACCCTACAGGGGCTTGTGATTATAGAATCATAGAATCATAGAATATCAGGGTTGGAAGGGACCTCAAGAGGTCATCTAGTCCAATTATGTTGAAAGCCAATTTCGAAAGTGGCTGTAGTAGTCTGGGGGGGGGTCTACATAATTCACCTCTAGCAGTGGTAGCAATGATGGAGGGTTTAGAGCAGATACAACCTAGCCCAACTTCTTAACAAGGTTTGTAATCATGCCAGTCATAGATCCTGAGGCCCTGTGGGAGCATTCACTGAAAATACCATTGCTAATGCTTCTTCAGCTCCACCAGTGTTAGCAACGTTAGGGGCCCTAGTGTGATGGCTGCAGGTTTTAACACAATCTCAGGTAAGCCAGCGCTGAACAGGTCTGATTGGTGTTAGGCTGCTGTTGGTGTTTAGTACCATGGTCGTTAGACCTACTCAGGACACGCTTTTAAAAAAAAAAACTGTGCAGCAGCCCAGCTACATGAGCGCTTCCTAGGTTGCTAACTCAGGGGCACCTTTGTAACCAACAGTGGGGCATGATTAGAAAATGTAGACAGGGCGTAACGTAGACAGGGCCTTGGCATGCATGTTTACAGTCTACTATGTACTTAAAAGCCCACGGCAGGATCACATTAGGTGTCCCTAGGGCAAGTTAGTAGTAGTGAATAACGCTTCAGATTTTGGCTTATGTAGAGACAGGCTCAGTAAAAACCATACTAGCCTTGAGCATTCAACAGCAGCAGCTGCTGCAGGTGTTTTCATCAGTATGCCATCTAGACCTACTCTGAACAAAGTCGGGCCAGTGGTAGATCCATTCGTAGGTCTCTAACTGCTGGCACAGACATTTCTTCTTAGCAAGTCTTTGTTAAGGGGCCAAGTCTATGCCTGGGTTCTAGCAGAGTGGCTGGCTGAGGAAAAAATCCATGTCCACTCGTGGCCAGTGAAACCATGCGTGCTCCAACCAGTCAGCCCTGGTGTTAGGACGTGGCTGTAGCTACCTTAGTTCTGATTCCCATAGCGAGTCGGAGTACAGAGTTGGATGGGCAAGAGGAAACCAGCAGGAAGACTATCATCAGGTATTGCAACCAAGAGAAGCAAAAGGCCAAAGCATTATTAAATGAAATATTTCCTGCTGTAAGCTTAGGCTAGCTGATTATTAAAAGAAATGAGACGAGGTGGGTGAGGTGTAACATCTCATTGTACCAACTTCTTTTGGTGGAAGAGACACGTTTTTGAGCTTCACAGAGTTCTTCCTCAGGTCTGGAGAAGGTAACCAAAGTGTCATAATCAAGTTAGGTCCAATAAAAGCTATTATCTCACCTACCTTGTGTATCTCACAGCCTGGGTCCAACACGGTTACGGCAACACTGCAGACAAGTATTAAAAGGAATGTTTGTTCACACCAATAGTCTTCAGGGGATGTTATTCTGAATATAGTAAAGTTTTCGAAGGGACCTGTTTACCCGTAGTCGAAGATGCATTTGCAGAAGTGACAGACTATGCTCCTGCAATTGGTGCAGTGTTGCCCAGACAATCAGAAGACCAGTTTTGAGGACCCTTTTGAAATTTGGCTCCGTCATGGAATTTAAACCTTACACTTTCCCTGTGACTTGAAAAAATTACCTTGTGCAGAGATTTGTCCTTCAGCTGAAAAGTTCAACATTTGCAGAGAGGATTGCAAAATAGGGGTCTCCTGGGCCTGAGGAAATTGGGCGTGTGTCTGCAGTTACAAAGGGTGGTGACCTTTGCAGCAAGTTCACGGAAAGGCCACACCCCATGACAGTCTCTGTACTGGGCTATACAGCTGCTGCATGGCTACATATAAGTTCTCTCAGGCAATTTTTTACATCTTGGAACGGCATTCCCATCTCACTCCTCACAGGAGTGAGAGGCAAAACAGAAATCCAGGGCTCAGGCATCCACTGCAGCTTATTTAAATACAATGTATCGATGGGAAATGGTCCATCACGAACGATGCACTTGCTTTGAAGTGCCCGGCTGATGTCAGGAAATTCAGTGCTGTAACCTGTCAAGGGATAGGACAGGAATTTGGAAGATGGCCTTTAATTCCACTGGCAGCCTTGAGCACTCAATTCCAACTGACTAGCATATTTCCAGGTTCCTCTGTATCTCTCGACAGATATGCCATCCCCAGGAGGACTTTGAAAGATGCCACTTCCAGAGTGGCCTCTAGTGACACATGGCCACCTATGTAGCAAGGAAAACAAGCAGCTAGGATTGTGAGGAGGCCGAACGAGGACCACACCGACAGACATGTACGCGTAAGACACAAACACTGGCTGTAAGTCACTTTTACAAGTTTCTTTATGAAATTAAATGTAGCCCCTGGCGAGGGGAAAGATATAGTGCAAGAATGACTTTGTACATGCTACTGAATTCAGATATCCCTGGATAACCAGACTTCAGTCAGCTACAGTATCAGCAAACATTGGAACTCTGAGCTTTGCAGACAGTTAGTGCTTACTCACAATAGCAACACGCTGGAATGAATGGGTGTTTTCCTTCCAACCGCCTGCAACTTCTCCTAAGCTATGGAATTCAGTCCTTATGGCTTCTAACTCTTTCACTATTGTAAGGCAAATCTTTCCTTTTACTAACCAAGGATTAAATGAATTCTTTTTGGCCACAATTTACAAACCTGCGTGCCTACCGCTAAGCTCTTAATTCCACATTTAGGCACCTTATAAATGGCCTGATTTCTTTTTTCAATGGTGCAGGTGACCTGGAATACACCTCGATATGGGGGGGGGGGGGTTGTACGTGTTCTCTGGTTTGGAAAAATCCATCCATTTTGTATGAAGGTGCTCAACTGTGGAGTTAGGACCTTAACTTAAGGGAATTAAGTTTGCAGATGTTGGCCTTTGTTTTTTGTTAACAAAAAAAAGAAAGACAGACGAACAGGCATCAAGTTAACAACATCTGACAGGACTGATTACAAACTTACAAAATACACAGTTCTGTATTTGCCATAAATAAACACATTACAAACGTTTAACATTTTCATTGGCCAGGAAATATGGCAGAGTGACAGTGGGAAGAGTCTAAGGAGCTGACAACAGTATTTATTTTAGGCACATTTTTTTCCTAACTCATTTTTTTTTTTTACATAACTCAAAGAAAATCAACTAGGTTGCAAGATGCATGTACTTCACTCATGCTGTGGGTTTGATTGGCACCATTCAATGGACTATGGTTCGGCAGTGTGTTGATCTAAGGAAAAGAAAAAGGGCACAGCGATATCATTGTTGCCTTCTCTGAGTGCCAATAAAGGCTAATCAGTCTGTTAAACATGTAGTAAGATCATTTCTTTGAAGATGAACTCGGGGATTGGGGCAGTAAAAGGAAGGGTTTAGTCCCCCCAAAAGTGCATCACATCAGCAACAATGAACCATGGTTCTGAGCATGCTCAGTAGACACCAAACAGGCTGGTGTTGGAATGGACAAACTGCCATCTCTGCATGGGCAGCCAAGTTGGCTGAAGGCTGGAGTCTCTCTGGCAGTTGTCAGACAGCAATAATGTTCACAGGTGGGAGGATTGGTTCAAGATGCAGCTGACAACAAGGGTAAGATGAAAAACAGTTCAGGCTCCATCCTGTCGTGATCTCTTCCTGGGGGTTTGTATGGCTCCCGAGTGTTGTGCAGGGCTGGCTCACTTTGACTGGCACAAAAACACGCAACACAGTGTCCCACTTCGGACCCATTCAAGTACAGTCAGTCTGCAGAATAAATAGGGAAGGAAGGAGCATGCGCCATCCTTTGCAAACAGAGGGATGGAGGAGCCGGGGGTCCGTCAGCTGGAACTGATGGCTAAAGTGCTTTCTCAGAAGGGATTCAGGCACAATAGGGAGCTGCCCCTCACTTCCGAAAGGGTGTCAGCCTGCTGATGTTCTGCCAGAAGTTCGAGGGCTTGCGCTTGGGCTCTGCCAGCATGAAGACTTGCTGCTGGGGGAGGTTGGTAGGCAGAGAAGGGTGCTTCTGACGCATCAGAAAGTCATAGTAGGGCCTGGTGACAGCTGTTTAGACCATGAGACAGGGAAGAGCAAGCATTAGGCTGGTACAGTCCCATGGCCGATTCCCACACAGTCATTCTCAAAGCTGAGGCAGAGTTAGCCATAATAAGTAACAGCCAGTTACAGATAACTCTGTTTTGAGTTATCTAACCCCAAAGGCAGTTCGGGGATTAAGCCGATAGTCTGGGAGTGCCCCACATGTTGATTGGAATTCAGAGATGCTCGCATGCCCTCAGAATGTTGCCTGCAGCCACGCGCAGCAATGCGAGGACAAAGCTGGACACTTAAGGCATGTCTGCACTGCAAAGGAAAACTCCCAGCAGGCCGTACCAGCCGACTCGGGCTCTCGGGGCTGTTTTATTGCAGTGTAGACTTCCGAGCTACCACCCGAACTCTGGGACCCTCCCACCTCGCAGCCCGAGCCCGGAAGTCTACACTGCAATGAAACAGCCCCAAAGCCCAAGCCCGAGTCAACTGGTATAGGCCTGCCATGAATTTTTCTTTGCAGTGTAGACATGTCATTACAGTGCTCTACTGCTGACAAACTTAAACAGCACCCAATTCTAAATGCTTGGGAGACTGGTTAACTGACCTGCACTTGTGCACATTAGCCTGTGTGGCAGGTTGTAAATATGCAAGTATCTGTAAACGTTTAAATGTTGCAAAGTCTTACTGAGCAGTGGGCCCAGTCCACAGCATTTAGATATAGATCTGGATTTGGAAGCCCTTGGGGTTCAGTAGTGTTTGGAGTTAGGGCCGTAGCGCCATTGTGTAACAATGGAAGGGGTTTTTCCATCACTGTAGTTAATCCAAGAGGCGGTAGCTAGGTCAACAAAAGAATTCCTCCATCAACCTAGTGCTGTCTACACTGGGGCTCAGATCGGCTTAACTACTTCTCTTGGGTGAATTTTTCACATCCCTGAGTGACCTAGCTAGGTTGACCTAAGTTTTCGGTGTAGACCAGGCCTTGGTTCACTGCACTAGAGAGAGACTGGGCAGCCTACGCCAACTGGATCTGGCTCCTGTTTCCAAACTCCCATGATATGTGGCAATATCTGGCTCCAAGTCTGGATTATAGCCGAACTGTCCTTCTTGGATTTTTGCAGTACTGTGCAATAAACTGCCAGCCTGTGTTTAATTCCCCACACAGTACCCAGGGAACCATAGAAAGGTAAGAGACTGAATTCCTTGGCAAGCTACAGTAGAGGGAGTGCAGCCACAAAGTCTGGTTTCCCAGGGCAGTTCTGTGAATCTTCACCTGGAGGCAGCGTCCATGATGAAGGGCAGGACAGGCATAAGGAGGGGAAACTTCCCTGCAACTCATAGAGCTCATCCTCCCTTCGGCTACTGCTAAATCTCCCTTGTTAGGCTGCTGCTTTCTGTCCTGGGTGCCTACAGATGCTGTTGAAGAACACATCATCTGCATCTGCCAATCCCCATGCACAGCAAAGGGCGGGTATTTAATTAACTGTTCTATTGTGGTAGCACCAACACTGTGCCAAATACCACACAAACATACACAGAGACTGCCCCTCCCGCAAAGACCTCAACCTAAACCCTTTTCACTTCCCCAAGAGTTCCCCTAAAACTCCTCTTGTCATTCTTCCTGCAAGCTGCCCCATTCAAATTGCTTAGAGACCTGGCTTCTAGGGCTGATTCCAGTCCCCAGCCAGATGCCATCCAACAATCTCATAAACAGAAGCTGCCAATTGTATTTAGCTACCTTGAACTGTACTAGGGGTTTTGGAATATGAACCGATGATTAGACACACAGAATGGCCCTTGTAGCCAGGAAATATTGGGTTGCTGAATCTCATTGGCTTAGCTGAGGCTGCCAAGTCTTCAACTTGGTGAGAGCTGCTGGGAATTGTATTGCAATTTCCCACCTCTCTGAGCCTACCAGTGGCCTATCCCAGAACTTTGTTAGCGTCACTTCATTGACACTAATCACATGCAGTAAAATCAGCTTGTTCGGGGAAAATTTCCATATAATGGGAGACAATAGAAAAATACAGTGCTGAGTAATTTCCACAGCTTGCGGATAGTTCAATTAATTTCACCAGGATCCTATTTCCCTGTCATGACTCTTTCTCTGCATTTTCTTTCTCATCCATCAGTGATGAAGGGCTTGATCCAGCAAAAATATTACATACTCATAAAACTGCATTTCCTAGTTCTAGGAGAACAATATGGTAGTAGGCAGTTAGTGAGGTGTTAGTCACCCCCATCTTTAACATTCCTGTTCAACCCCAGTGGAACAAGACCCACCAGTGGAAATCCTTAGTCATTTCCCTCTTAGCTGTAAGAGTAGGGAGATGGATCAAAGTTTGTGACAAGTCACATCTCCCATCCAGCTAAGAGGGTATATTGACTGGATGGCACTAGAGTCTGGTTTATTTTCAAGGTCTACAGTCGCTGTGAGATTCCTTAGCATTGTGTTTAGCTATGGACTCCTATTGGGATCTGAATTGGAGGTTAACTCTTAACACTGTGTTCTTTATTTAATACTGAAATGCTACCTTAACCTGCAGAATAACTAATTGTAAATATTGTTATAAACAAAAATACTGTCACTGGGAAGTTATGCTGAAACGTTGCTCACCTGTTTATCGACAAGTTCAGATTGCTTAATGGGGGGCACGTTTATCAGTGAATCTGGATTTTTATTTAAACGTGACTTCACTAAAATATTTGTTTCCTGAACTGTATGTGCTGATCCGATTTACAGCTTGTATTTTTTACTCTTAAGTTTGATCAGGTTTGTTCCTAGGCTCCATAAACCCGGAGCGACAGAAAATTAGAATGGCTATTGCTAAAACAGGGGCAATTGCTTCTCATTAATTTCCCTGCCCACTTTTTTTCCCCACCACACCAAGTGATCCCTGTGCCACTGGAATAAAGATCTTAAAACCTACCCCCCCAGTGGTAGGAGAAGAGTAACATTTACCAAGCTCCCAAAGATGAACAAGCCGGGGGAGGGGACAATTAATGCATTGATCAGCCCAAGCTTATTTGAAGTCAGTTTTTTAGATGTGCTGATGTGCTTAGGAGAAAAAGAAAGGGCCACACTCACCCTTAGGCTTTCCGGTGTGGTGCTGTTTGTTGGCATTCAGCATCGCCTGCTTCTTCTGCACCTCTGTGATTGAAAAACCTTAAAGACAAAACCGAACCTGTTACCAGCTGTACCGCTTAGGGCTCCTCCTACAAACAGCGGGGCTCATGAAGAGGGAAGTGTGGGGATGAACACATCACTATGGATTTGATTGTGCTCTTCAGGCACAGCCCCATATTGGGGTCTACCTTGCCGCAGGAGCCCCGGGACACATTCTGGGTAGAATTCAGCCAGAATTGCCTCTGGCGCTGAGGGAGAGTGTATGCTGCCCAGGGCGCGCTGCCAATTTTTAGCAATTGCAACATGTGCCTCACTTTGTGGCAGCTACGCCCCCACTCAGTTCTCCCTGCCTCCTTGGTTAGCATGGTCAGTGGCAGCCTACCATATGGCCTGCACTCTTGGCGCACTGGGTTGGCCCTGCTTGTGTGGCCCTAGTCACATTAGACCAAGTATGAAAACGGTGAGATGGATTTGCCCCCTAGAGAGCATGTGGTCATGTATAGAATCCTGGATCAATCTTGTGCTGGACTATTGACGAGTCTGTCTCTAACCCTGCCAATGGGAAGAATAATTCAAAACTAACATAACTTACTATTTAATAGTTCAAGCAGGCTAAGCAAAAGAATTTAGCAGCTCCCTGAGACCTCATTTCAGTGCTTGCTCTCTGCTCTATTCTTTGTATGATGAGCAGAGGGGAAAAGAAACATCATGCAAAATATATACATCTGCAGCCCAGCCCTGGGCTGGAGGGGCACGTATTGCATTTGCACACATTTGTGTTCAGCGTGGTGGAGGGCCCTGCTAGACAGACAGCCTTGCCATACCAGTTTCCTGGTCAAGCTGAACCTGTTTCCTTTCATTCTCGAATGCCTTGAGCCAGCGCTGTTTCTGTTCAGGCTTTTTTGCACAGAATAAGTGGACTTCCTCAGGGTCCCTGCAGAGCAGCTTGAATGCATTTTTAACACTGATATTGAAGTCTTTATCCTTCCCATCCTCCACGTCCACTATTTCCATGTCATCCATGTTGATCCGACTCTTATAATAGAGGATGTCCCGGCGCAGGAGATCCTGGAAGAGATTATTTTCATTGTAACTATATCCAATTTCCATGCACACAATTCCTTTCTCTTCCTAGCCACAACAGACGACCTGTTACCTTGCTGATGTGCACTGCTGCCTTATGAGAAAAAGCAATGACACTTAGGCCTCTTTGCCCTGACTGTGGCTTTTTGGAACTCACTTTCTGATGCTGGCTGCAGTCTTAGAACAAGCTGGTAGGGCCCAGGAACAGTTTCTGTAGCTGATGGAGCATGTGTCTGGGCAGGACTATACTTACAGCAGTGTGATAATATGTACTGCCACTCAGGGGTGAAAGTGAGCCGGTACGGCATACTGGTAAGAACCCACACCGGCCTGTATGCAGCCCACATTAAAGCACTGCCACGGCGCTATAATGTCCCTGCCACTTTTGCCTCCCCCATCGGCGGCCCTGCTAGTAGGGTCCGTACAGGCAGGGCTGCCCACAGGGGAGGCAAAAGAAGCAGGGACGTTAAAGTGCAGCCACGGCAGTGCTCTAAGGACGGTCTTTTGTCGTGGCAGCACTTTAACGTTGCTGCGCCCCCCCATCGGCGGCCCTACCAGCAGGGCCACCGACTGGGGAAGCGCAGCAACGTTAAAGCGCTGCCGCGGCAAAGGAGCCTACAGAGCTTTAACGTCTTTGCCCCTTTTGCCCCCCCTCGGCCACCGACAGGCGGGCGGGAGGGGCAAAGGGAGCAGCTGCCCCGGGGCTGGTGATTTAAAAGGGCCCGGGGCTCTGGACATCACTACCGCAGCAGCGGCGTCCAGAGCCCCAGGCCCTTTAAATTGCCACTGGAGCCCCGGGCAGCGCGGGCCAGCAGCCTGGAAGGGCTGGCTCGGGGATGCTGGCCCCGCCCCTTCCGCCCCTTCTGGGGGCCGGAGCTGGCCCCGGCCCCATACCGGTAAGTGTCTGGAGTTACTTTCACCCCTGATGCCACTACTATCAACTGCACTAGAGTGCTTCTGTAATTCACTGTCACTTTCCAGGATGTCTGAAAGGCAAGCACAGGTTCCTGTTATTGCCCTGACATGGGGACACTGGGTACTTACTAAGCCAGACAACTAGTCAACGTTGTTATCCAGATTTAGGACAGTGTAACGGAGCAGGATTTGGCCCCTACAGTCTATCTCAAGAAGCCACAAAATGCAGGATTGGATTTTCCTGCTAATGTCGTTGGTGAAAAATACAGCCAGCACTAGTGTCCAAGGCAAGGCCCTCATTAGTTTAAGTCACTTGAAGTAAGGAATTGTGGGTATAGTGAAATGGGTCATGCGCTCAGTGAAAAGCTTTGGTGTGGTCACTTCTGACGTGCTGTAGAAAGAGCCCTGTCTCCCTTCACACTAGGTCACAACCACATCTGAGTCTTTGCATTTACACATGTAGCTGTGACCAGCCAGCATTCCCAATGAAAACAAGCCAAGTGATGCTTGGCCTACTGATGTGGGGGCCTGGTTTTCAGTGGTGCTGAGCTCTTTGACATCACCTGGAGCTTGTAGTGCTTAGCAACCCTGAAAATCAGGCCTGTGAATTAGCTCAAACTCTGAAAGAGCTTTCAATAAAGAACAACATATGGGGAGGAAAGGGTCTGTGGGGCACATTGTGCTTCCCCTGAAGAAAATACAAAACTGATCTTTCAATACTACCCATCCAGGGGGAAGTGCCAAAAGGCAAGATCCCAAGTGAAATGTGTTGTTCCATCCTTACTTAGAGCCTGAGCCAAAGTCAATGGAAGACTCTCATTGACTTCAGTAGGCTTTGGGTCTGGCCCCTAAAGGGACGACAGACCGCTTTAAGGACTGTGATCCCTCCTGTTATTTAAATAGGCCATCTCCTTGGGTTCGTTATAATCCAATATAGGAACTGTAACATGCCACGCTTTCCCTATGAGAGCAGTGTATCCGAACTGATTGTTCTGGAAATTAGGTACCCAGCCACAGCCATTTTGTCTTCTGGGTACCATTTCAGTAATCTGTCCCTAAATTCCTGCTGATGACAACTGTGTTAGATGAGGGCGAAAATAGTGATGGCAATGTTGACGCATTTGATTTTTTTAAAATTAAGCCTCACACTGATCCTACAAAAACCAATGCCCAGCTTTCCTCTCTAGAGTGACCAGACAGCAAGTGTGAAAAATCGGGACAGAGGGTGGAGGGTAATAGGAGCCTATATAAGAAAAAGACCCAAAATTCGGGACTGTCCCTATAAAATTGGGACATCTGGTCACCCTATTCCTCTTTCACTGCAGGAGACCTGCCTGTAAAGAGCCTGCTACTTCCATTTATCATCTGCAATCAAGTGCACAGTAGACCAGCATGGCAGGAAAAAATTGCTGTATATGCACATACACAACTCCAGCCCCCTGACTGATAGACAGACATGTCTAGCTTTAGCCTGCCAACCTACATACTGACCCTCTTTAAAGATATTCTGGGGAGGGGAATGTAAAAAGTAAAACTGAACTGAGGTGGGATTTGACTTCAGTGGGCATATCAATCAACAGAGGTAGAGACAGGCTCCTCAAGTTACCTTCTTACAGCAGACCAGCTGGTGATCAAAGAGGAAGAACATTCTCTGTTGGCTCTTCGCTTGAGGCTGGGAGATTTTGGTTAATTCCCCAGAATAGATGAGTTCTGAGCTTCTGACTAGGACGTCTTCACCCTGGCGGCAGCAGCAGCACCACAAAGAGCATGTCAGTTTGTCCCAAGAATCACAAGAATTTAACCTGATTGAGCGCCTGGGCTTGATTGGTTAAATGGTGTGGTCCTGACCTACCATCCTGGATCTTAGGTGATAGTTCATAAGATGTCACAATGACCTAGAACAACAAATGTTGATGGGAAAAGGTGCAAAGGGGAGACAGACTGAATCAGTCCAAACAAAAAGGCCTCCTGATATAACTCAAGGAGTTAAGATCATGCTTGGTAAACAAGAGAAACGTGCAATCAAAAATCAGTGAACCAAAATTGGTGCGTCCTGGATGCAGGCCGCCTCTGTGAATGCGGATGGAGTGAAAAAGGAGCAGGGGCTGTTGTATGAATTTAGATGGAATAAATGGGCCAAAGGCGTTAACATAACCCAGTCACTGTCCAACACTCAACGGCATTAAACAAGGTTCAGGGTTTAGTATGCAGAGACCTCAGCCTGCTTAGTACTATGGCAAACACACCATTAAAAATCCTTAGCCTTTTATTAAAGACATAGAGAAGAAGGAAAAACAGTTAAAGCAGTTGAAATATAAAGCATTAAGTAAGGCTTTCATTTTAAGAAGATTTCTTGTTCCCTTTCCCTTTAGCTGGAGAGAATTTTTAGAAGGAAAAGCCCCCTTGTCTGACATTTCTTAGATGGTATCAAAGATGAGCTAATTCAGTTTAAACTAAATGGAAGGATAAACAAAAATAGATCTGTGACTAGGGTTTTTTATTTCAAAAGGGTTAACTTTAAAGAATTAAGGAAATTAGTTAGGGAAGTGGATTGGACTGAAGAACTTGGGGCTCTAAAGGTGGAGGAAGCCTAGAATTACTTCAAGTCAAAGTTGCAGAAACTATCAGAAGCCTGCATCCCAAGAAAGGGGAAAAAATTCATAGGCAGGAGTTGTAGACCAAGCTGGATGAGCAAGCATCTCAGAGAGGTGATTAAGAAAAGCAGAAAGCCTACAAGGAATGGAAGATGGGAGTGATCAGCAAGGAAAGCTACCTTATTGAGGTCAGAACATGTAGGGATAAAGTTAGAAAGGCCAAAAGCCATGTAGAGTTGGACCTTGCAAAGGGAATTAAAACCAATAGTAAAAGGTTCTATAGCCATATAAATAAGAAGAAAACAAAGAAAGAAGAAATGGGACCGCTAAACACTGAGGATGGAGTGGAGGTTAAGGATAATCTAGGCATGGCCCAATATCTAAACAAATACTTTGCCTCAGTATTTAATGAGGAGCTTAGGGATAATGGTAGGATGACAAATAGGAATGAGGATATGGAGGTAGATATTACCACATCCGAGGTAGAAGCCAAACTCGAACAGCTTAATGGGACGAAATCAGGGGGCCCAGATAATCTTCATCCAAGAATATTAAAGGAACTGGCACATGAAATTGCAAGCCCATTTGCAAGAATTTTTAATGAATCTGAAAACTCAGGGGTTGTACCATATGACTGGAGAATTGCTAACATAGTTCCTATCTTTAAGAAAGGAAAAAAAAGTGATCCGGGCAACTACAGGCCTGTCAGTTTGACATCTGTAGTATGCAAGGTCTTGGAAAAAATTTTGAAGGAAAAAGTAGTCAAGGACATTGAGGTCAATGGTAATTGGGACAAAATACAACATGGTTTTACAAAAGGTAGATCGTGCCAAACCAACCTGATCTCCTTCTTTGAGAAGGTAACAGATTTTTTAGACAAAGGAAATGCAGTGGATCTAATTTACCTCCATTTCAGTAAGGCATTTGATACGGTTCCACATGGGGAATTATTAGCTAAATTGGAAAAGATAGGGATCAATATGAAAATTGAAAGGTGGATAAGGAACTGGTTAAAGGGGAGACTACAACGGGTCGTACTGAAAGGTGAATTGTCAGACTGGAGGGAGGTTAGTAGTGGAGTTCCTCAGGGATCGGTTTTGGGACCAATCTTATTTAATCTTTTTATTACTGACCTTGGCACAAAAAGTGGGAATGTGCTAATAAAGTTTGCGGATGACACAAAGCTGGGAGGTATTGCCAATACAGAAAAGGACTGGGATATCATACAGGAAGATCTGGATAACCTTGTAAACTGGAGTAATAGTAATAGGATGAAATTTAATAGTGAAAAGTGCAAGGTCATGAATTTAGGGATTAATAACAAGAACTATTGTTATAAGCTGGGGAGGCATCAGTTGGAAGTAACAGAGGAGGAAAAGGACCTCGGAGTATTGATTGATCACAGGATGACTATGAGCCGCCAATGTGATATGGCCATGAAAAAAGCTAATGCGGTCTTGGGATGCATCAGGTGAGGTATTTCAAATAGAGATAAGGAGGTGTTAGTACCATTATACAAGGCACTGGTGAGACCTCATCTGGAATACTGTGTGCAGTTCTGGTCACCCATGTTTAAGAAGGATGAATTCAAACTGGAACAGGTTCAGAGAAGGGCTACTAGGATGATCCGAGGAATGGAAAACCTGTCATATGAAAGGAGACTCAAAGAGCTTGGCTTGTTTAGCCTAACCAAAAGAAGGCTGAGGGGAGATATGACTGCTCTTTATAAATATATCACAGGAATAAATACCAGGGAGGGAGAGGAATTATTTAAGCTCAGTACCAATGTGGACACAAGAACAAATGGATATAAACTGGCTATCAGGAAGTTTAGACTTGAAATTAGACGAAGGTTTCTAACCATCAGAGGAGTGAAGTTCTGGAACAGCCTTCCAAGGGGAGTAGAGGGGGCAAAAGACATATCTGGCTTCAAGATTAAGCTTGATAAGTTTATGGAGGGGATGGTATAATGGGATAGCCTAATTTTGGCAATTAATTCGTCTTTGACTACTAGCGGTAAATATGCTCAATGGCTTGTGATGGGATGTTAGATGGGGTGGGATCTGAGTTACTACAGAGAATTCTTTCCTGGGTGTCTGGCTGGTGAGTCTTGCCCACATGCTCAGGGTTTAGCTGATTGCCATATTTGGGGTCGGGAAGGATTTTCCTCCAGGGCAGATTGGCAGAAGCCCTGGGTTTTTTTCGCCTTCCTCTGCAGAGTGGGGCACGGGTCACTTGCTGGAAGATTCTCTGCACCTTGAAGTCTTTAAACCATGATTTGAGGACTTCAATGGCTCAGACACAGGTTTGATACAGGAGTGGGTGGGTGAGATTCTGTGGCCTGCGTTGTGCAGGAGGTCAGACTAGATGATCATAATGGTTCCTTCTGACCTTAAAGTCTATGATTCTATGGTCATAACTGTCCTTTTGGGGAAGAGAGAAGAAGTTAGTTGAGATGAGCGGGAGCTGCTGCTGCTGCTGTTAAAGTCCAATCCTGTTTCATCTCAGGTGGTGTTTGGGATTCAGCTGGAGCCGGCAGTGGTGGTGACGTCCCCTAGATCGCTCTCCCTGGCCTGGTCTGCTCAGGACAGCTCCAGGATCAGGATGATGAAGGCCCAGGATCCCAGGAGATGGTGGGGAGTAGTAGCCATGATGGTGAAGCTTGCTCCAGTAGCCAATTTCCCCTTCAATGTCTCTTTCTTTAAGGACCTCCGAAAGGGAGTTATGGGTGGATAGTGCATACCCTCATTATTTTGTCCACCAGTTAGGCCTAGTTTCTGACATACCAATTTTGGTTCACTGATTTCTGGTTGCACACTTCTCTTAACACACTCCTTGAGTTATATCAGGAGGCCTTTTTGTTTGGACTGATTCAGCCTGTTTCCCTTTTGCACCTTTTCCCATCAACATTTGTTGTTCTAGGTTATTGTGACACCTTATGAACATAAACGCACTATTTAACAATTGAGCTCACAATTAGGGTAAATTTGTAGGTCCAGTTATCACAGCATGATCTCATTCCATCACAACACTGGAGCACAATCCCTGCCTCTCATGAGAGTGAGGGATGCTGTCCCTCTCACATCCATTGAGCACCAATTTGGCTGGGCATATGCAGAAAATGAAATTTTGTTCTGGATTCAGCCCCATTTGCCAGGTCTGGATCATCTGCTCATCTGCTGAGCCAAATCCTCTGCCCTCAGAGGAGCTACATTAGTTTACACCAGCTAATGAGGGGGGAAAAAAGGATAATTTAATCAAAATACATTTTGCTCAGCTCTAGAAAACAGGCAGTTTTGTTTATTTGAAAAATAAATAAATAAAACTGGTTTTAAAAAGAGCTTTTCTGAGCATGTACAAATACTATAGGAAAATTCAGATGCCATTTTTTCTGTCAGGGCCTGGTAGCCCTCTCAAGGATGTCGCTTAGAATACTAGATGCCAACTCTGCCTGCCTCAATAATGCTTGAAAATTATTCAAATAATAAATGGTTTATTGGAATTTCAGTAAGCAGCATGTGCCAATCTCCTTCTGCAAAGAGCAAGGATGTATGGTAAACGGGACCCAGAGAGCTGTGCAAAGCTCTAGAAGGGTATCGGGCTAGTTCAGGTCTTTCAGAGTTCCTCCAACCCTATCAGGAGAAGGTGAAACAACAAGCATGAGTGTGACAGAATGTGATTGGGCTAGTGAGCCAAATAAAATAATCACTTGGGGCCCCATTCACTCTGTGGGGCACTTGAGTCCCCTCACCTCCCAGTCCTCTATGGAACTCTGCCACTGGGCAATTTTGTCTATGTTCTCCAGCCTCCTCTTTCTCTCATTGATCAGTCGAGCAACGTTCTTCATGGCATTTAAGGCAGCTTCAACATCTTTAAAATCCCTAGGGCGAAACAGATTTCATTAGGCACGTCTACATGAGCAGACCGGAATCCAAAAGTGCTGCAACTCTAGAGTCTACTGAACTGGAGCACAGAGCTGGAAATCTGGGTTCCATTTCTGGTTCTGCCACTCACTTGGGTTGTATTTCTAAAGCACTTGAAGAATGTCACACGGAGAGCCCCGTGGGCCACATTTTCAGAAGAACTCATCTCTCATTTAGGCATGAAAATAAGAGGTCAGATTTTGAAAGGAGCTGAGTTCTTTGGAAAGCCAGGCCCGAATGGTGAGCGCTGAGTATCTGAAAATCTGACCCAGCAGGTGCAAAGTACTTGCTATTCTAAGTATCTGTTTTCTCTGGAGATTTAAAGCCACTATTTTGTCCAACACAAAAACTATTTTTTAAGTGAAATTGTTAAAGCCACAATATTTTCATGCCATTACATTTGAAGATTTAGTTGTCAGACATGGGCCAAAACCATTTAGAAATGCATGGGTTCCTTTCAAACAGGAGGCATTATCTATTTGTGGTAGGACAGAATCTCCTGCAACCAACCCACACACCATCTGCTACCACCATCTCACTCACTAGCCCTGGAAGAAGAGGGCTGGAGTGTCTTGCCTTACACACTATTTCCAAAATCTCAGAGCACCCACTGTGGCACGTACTCTGAGTAACCCCTTCCAGATATACTTAGTTTCACAACATAGTGTTTACGAATTTAATAACACACACACATAGGCCTGGTCTACACTAGGCTTTTATGTTGACTTTAGCGCCGTTATATCGAATTAACCCTGCACCCGTCCACACCACGAAGCTATTTAGTTCGAAATAAAGCTCTCTTTAAATCGATTTCTGTAATCCTCCCCAACGAGAGGAGTAGCGCTAAATTCGACATGGCCATATCGAATTAGGCTAGGTGTGGATGGAAATCGACGCTAATAGCTCCGGGAGCTATCCCACAGTGCACCACTCTGTTGACGCTCTGGACAGCAGTCCGAGCTCGGATGCTCTGACCAGCCACACCCCCGGGAAAATTTGAATTCATTTTCCTGTCTGGGCAGTTTGAATCTCAGTTCCTGTTTGGACATCGAGGGGAGCTCAGCAGCAGTGGCAACTATGCAGAGCTCTCCAGCAGAGATGGCCGTGCAATCTAATAGAAAGAGGGCCCCAGCATGGACTGATCGGGAAGTCTTGGATCTCATCGCAGTGTGGGGCGATGAGTCCGTGCTTTCAGAGCTGCGCTCCAAAAGAAGGAATGCTAAGATCTACGAGAAGATCTCCAAAGCCATGGCAGAGAGAGGCTACAGCCGGGATGCAACGCAGTGCCGCGTGAAAATCAAGGAGCTGAGACAAGGCTACCAAAAAACCAAAGAGGCTAACGGACGCTCCGGATCCCAGCCCCACACATCCCGTTTCTACGAGGCACTGCATTCCATCCTGGGAGCGGCCGCCACCACTACCCCACCCCTGACCGTGGACTCCGAGGATGGGATATTATCCGCGGCCGGTTCCTCGTCGGACATGTTAGCGGACGGGGAAGATGAAGAAGGAGATGAGGAGGACGAGGCAGTCGACAGCGCTGGCACCGCTGATTTCCCCGACAGCCAGGAGCTCTTCATCACCCTTACCGAGATCCCGTACCAACCGTCCCCATCCCTTACCCCGGACACAGAATCAGGGGAAGGATCAAGCAGTAAGTGCTGTAAACATGTAAACATTTATTTAAAACGGAACGGTAATATTTATACTATTAACAATGTATGTTTATAAAAGTGCTGTAAACTAGTAAAAAAGAATCAGGTGCAAAACAGGAATATTTACAAAGGTAACAAATGGGTTTTCATGATTTCTCTGTCTTAGGCTCTTCTCAATTTAGTCCCAAGTATTTTAAAAAATTTTCACAATGTCCGTTACTACATGATTCCCAGGCCCAAGACGCTCCACTCCATAGTCCCAGTGCACCTAGGCGAAAATCCGGTCAATGTGGCCGGGGATTGACGAGAAATCCTCGTGGGAGAACTCCTCGTAGGTCTCGTGGAGGTAGATCTCAAGCCTGTTTATGAGGTTCCGGGGTAGGGCGATCTTACTGGGCCCTCCGTGGTAGCAGACATGTCCCCTCCACGCCACAATCAGGTACTCGGGGATCATGGCCCGACATAGCATGGCGGCATACGGCCCCGGTTTCTGCATGCTTTCCCGCAGCATGCGTTCTCTCTGGGTGTCCGGGATCCTCAGGAGGGTGATGTCGCTCATGACGCCCTGCTTTGAATTAGGGAGGGGAATGTTAGTATTGGGACTGCTTTACAGCCACGCGGTGGAGGGAGAGGGGCAGCATACAGGGATCTTTCCCTGGGACAGCCGCGAGGGGGTGGGACAGGGGCAGAGTTGATGCTGTCCTGATTGCTGGCAGCAGAGACTGGCATTGCTTTCAATGTGAAAGGAGGCCAGTGCTACTGCTGGAGTTTTAAGCAGCCACAAGTCTCCGGCTTACCATTATTGCCCGCTCCAGAAGTTCAGGTCTCCAGCCACAGTTCTCTGAACACTCCAAGACCTCCGCAAGTCCACAGGCACTGAAGGCGACGGCCGAAAATTCGACCTTGTCCTGAGTGCGCATGTGAGAGGTGCAGTGCATGGTCTTGTTCACAGAGAAAGACTAGGTTCTTTGTATACAATTTCATTTATCTGTCTCAGGAATTCACTCCCTTTTTACAATTCACACAGACACATCTGCGTCTGTCTCCCAACCCAGCCTGTCAGCACACTCCCAGAGGCTAGCGCAGATTAGGCGGAGGAAGAAGAAGACGCGTGAAGACATGTTCTCAGAACTAATGGGATGCTCCCGAGCCCAGGCAGCCCAGCAGACACAGTGGAGGGAGAACTTGTCACAAATGCACCGAGCAGTCATGGAACGGGAGGAGAGGTGGCGTCAGGAGGACCAACAGGCTACTGAAAAGCTGCTTGGACTAATGAGGGAGCAAACGGACACGCTCCGGTGCCTTGTGGATGTTCTGCAAGACCGGAGGCAGGAGGACAGAGCCCCGCTGCAGTCTATCTGTAACCGCCCTCACCCGCCACCAAGTCCCACACCACCCTCACCCAAAGTCCAAAGAAGGAGGGGCAGCAAGGGCCGTTAAAACTTTCAGTCAACCCCTGCAGACTGCTCTAGCACTAGAAGGCTGACATTCCCCAAAATTTCATAAGTCCTTTCCTACCCACCTCACACAAGCCCCCGTCCAAGTTTCACCCCCCACGTTTCATGTCTGGTTCGCAATAAAATGTTTGTTTCTGTCCATTACTGTTTCAGTCAGGTTCTTTTGAGGGAGAGTCTGTCTGGAGGGGGGGAAGGGGCTTGGTAATTGGACAGGACAGTGACCTTTAGCAGGGTACAGAGGCGGTGTCAGGTCCAGCATCAGGACACATACACAGTGCAGTCACTGGTTACCCTGGTCAGTCTGGGAGGTGTTTTTCATGTTCTGGGGGGGGGGCTGCTCTGTGACTTTGTGGCGGGTGAGGGCAGTTACAGATCTTATGCAGCGGTCCTTATCCTGGCTCACAGATCCACGCAGCAGGGGATCTGTAACCCTACCCCCCCTGCCAGAAAGTCACATAGCCGACACATACACACAGTCCCCCCCAGGAGTGCTGGCAGGCTCCATTGAAATAACCAGTCCACCAGTGCGGAGCCTGCCATTCCGGGAGTTTAGAAGCATCATTTGCATCAGAACACTAAACCCGCCCCCCGCCACAGTCTGCGTCCCCGGTTTAAAATATTCCCGCGAAAACAGCAATACAGACAACGGTGTTCATTAACAAAATCGAAATGATTTTATTTTTTGGGAAGGGGAAGGGGGTGAAGGGGGTATGTAACTGGAGAGGATAGTCAAAATGAACTGGGTAAAGAAACGGGGGCAGGTTCAGCTTTTCTGTCCACAAACTGAAAAGTCACTGGTTGCCCTGCTCACTCAGGAACCTAGCTTTCAAAGCCTCCCGGATGCACAGGGCGTCCCGCTGGGATCTTCTAATGGCCCGGCTGTCTGGCTGGACGTAATCAGCAGCCAGGCTATTTGCCTCTAGCTCCCACCCCGCCATAAAGGTCTCCCCCTTGCTCTCACACAGATTGTGGAGCACACAGCAAGCTGCAATAACGATGGGGATATTGGTTTCACTGAGATCACAGCGAGTGAGTAAGCTTCTCCATCTCCCTTTGAGACGGCCAAAAGCACACTCCACTACCATTCTGCACTTGCTCAGCCGGTAGTTGAACAGTTCTTTTTCTGTGTCCAGGGCGCCAGTATAGGGCTTCATGAGCCAGGGCATTAGCGGGTAGGCTGGGTCCCCGAGGATGACTGTAGGCATCTCCACATCCCCAAGAGTTATTTTGTGGTCTGGGAAGTAAATACCTTCCTGCAGCCGTCTAAACAGACCAGAGTTCCTGAACACGCGAGCGTCATGAACCTTGCCCGGCCATCCGACGTAGATGTTTGTAAACCGTCCCCGATGGTCCACCAGTGCTTGCAGCACCATTGAAAAGTAGCCCTTTCTATTGATGTACTGGCTGGCCTGGTGGTCCGGTCCCAGGATAGGGATGTGAGTCCCATCGATAGCCCCACCGCAGTTTGGGAATCCCATCACGGCAAAGCCATCTATGATGACCTGCGCGTTTCCCAGGGTCACTACCTTTGGGAGCAGTACCTTCACGATTGCCTTGGCTACTTGCATGACAACAACCCCCACGGTAGATTTGCCCACGCCAAAGTGGTTCGCGACTGACCGGTAGCTGTCCGGCGTTGCAAGCTTCCAGAGGGCTATGGCCACTCGCTTCTGGACAGTGAGGGCTGCTCGCATGCGGGTGTCCTTGCGCTTCAGGGCAGGGGACAGCAACTCACAAAGTTCGAGGAAAGTCCCCTTCCGCATGCGAAAGTTTCGCAGCCACTGGGATTCATCCCAGACCTGAAGCACTATACGGTCCCACCAGTCCGTGCTTGTTTCCCGAGCCCAGAATCGCCGTTCCACGATATCCACATGACCCATTGCCACCGTGATGTCCTGGGCGCTGGGGCTCGTGGTTTCTGACAGCTCTGTGCTACTCTCCGACTTCAGGCCATCACGGCGGTGTCGTAGCCTCCTCGCCTGATTACTCTTCATCTGCCTCAGGGAAAGGTGTATGATAAGCTGCGAGGTGTTGAGAACGGCCAGAAGTGCAGCGATGGTTGCAGCGTGATCCATGATCGCAGTGCTGTGGCGTCCGCGCTGTCACTGACCAGAAAAGTGCGCGAACTGATTTCCCGCCGGCGCTTTCATGGAGGGAGGGAGGGCGTTAGTGACGGACGGATGACGACAAATTTTTTTTACCCAGAAGGCATTGGCGGCTCGACCCAGAATTCCGATGGGCAGCGGGGACTGCGGGAACTGTGGGATAGCTGCCCACAGTGCACCGCTTCCAATATCGACGCTCGCCCCGTTAGTGTGGACTCACAAAGTCGAATTACTGTCCTTAGTGTGTCCTTAGTGTGGACACACACGTTCGACTTTGCAATATCGATTCCACATATTCGATTTAAGTAAAATCGAATTACCCTCGTAGTGTAGACATACCCATAAAGTAATTCTGAGAAACATCAATGTGGTCATTAGGAACTTGGAAGTCCAGCTCAATTCATAGTGTGTCACTATGATCACTTTCCTCCAATACAGATTTTCAGGTTTATTTGTGTAACTCTAGTTATATCAGGTGCATTATTAAGAGACACATTTTATTATACACAAATATGTTCCTCGTACTGCGATTCCTTAAAAAAACCAGCTGATCAATGGTTGCGCTATGAGAATTTGAATAGATTCTGTCAAAACTGTAAAGAGATTCTGTTTAAAAACACGGGCCCAAAGTTTGCTGTGCCTTAAAATTGTTATGATGCCCTAGGGAAAGTTCTCTAGAGCCAAAGGGCCACATCCTCAGCAATGTGCATAGCCCCACTGAAGACATTTTA